AGGAGAAGATTATTTTTTTTTTTTTTTTTGTCCGAGATCTTTTTGGATTTTGGGAGGGGGTTGCCCATCTTTCTTGGAGAAGCTTATCTCTCTTTCAACTCGGCCTATTTTTAGGATATATATAAATATTATTGCATGCTAAAAAATCTGTGAAGGTAAATAAATGAATCAATATCATAGGGTTGCACGAAAATTTAGCTTACACACCTAAATTGCGTGTTGAAAGGGAAGATAAAAAACTTTATGTGAAAAAAAAGAAAAAAGAAAAAAAAGTACGCGGCCGAATGTAGTTAAAATATTCTTTTATATATATTGATGCTATAAAGTTCAACTCTTTTCTCTAAATAGAGAATATGGGGTGAGTTTTAATGAGTTTCAAGGATCATACAACAACCAACTAAGAATAATCGTTGAGCTACAACAACCACTAGTGGTGGTAGACAACAATCTCTGATGGTCGTTAACTTGTCATTCTCTTTAAGAGTGTAGACTTAGCTATTAATTTCATTCATCTTTTATGTTGAGAATGTGATTTTATTTGTAGAGTTCTCGAGAAGTGTGCTGGTAAATTTAGTCGACCCGATGATCTATGTTAATTCTTTACATTATAGATTATTTTTTTTAGCATTTAAGTATAATAATAATATCATAATTAAGTGATCTTGGGCTTGTTGGTTTTCAGTTGTTGAAACATTCGGTTTGACTATAAGTATGTCAAATTTGAAGTTCATTTGACCTTTCAATTAATGTTTCAAAGCTTTTAATCGTACTTCAAATGGTTGATAAGAGCTCTTTTGGGTTTGGATCAAATCGCTTTTAATATCATTGTGTTCGTATTATTGTGATATTCTATTTGAACATAAAATTGCTGAAATCAAAGCCCGTTCATTTTTAATTTGAATACAAAATTCATTTATCTAATATGCATCGAGAGTCATGTTTGGTTAAGCATATTTTTTTAGAACTTTTGTGCAAGATTACTACAACAACAATAAGCCTTTATCCCACAAAGATGGGACGGCTTGTACAAGACTACTATTCAATGAAATTTTATGAGACGTTAGAATATTAGATGAAGGATAATAAGTTATAAAAATTACTAAAATTACTCTCAAATTTGTCAATGCTTCTACCCTTAGTAGAGGAGCAATTGGCTTGGAAGAGTGGTGCACAAAGTATCTCCAAGACGATTTCAAATTTTTATATAAAGAAAGACTGGTGTGTACCAAGATGTAATTACAGATGGCTTATACAAGATAATGAAAAATTATTTTTTTCTTTTTGAAAATTTGGAGCTTTTTTTTTGTTTACTTTAATTAAATGAATTTATTAAAAAAAAATAAAAATAATATTAAAAATAAATATATATCTTCATTTATATTAAAGCATTTAATATTTCATTTGCTCATGATTCAATGAATCAAGATATTTTCATAAATACTTTATAAAAGTTAAAATTACTATAACAATCATCACTGGGTATGAGCACATTGTGGATGCATGCTAGCTTGTGAGCATGGATGCAAACTTGTGTGCTTGCAAACATATCGGTATAATCTTACATTCAAATTGATGATAATCCGAGTTTTGATTTCAACATCTTAAAAACAAAACTGATCATCTTGACAATACAAACTCCATAATACTGAAAGCGATTCGTTCTAATCTCAGATAAGCTCAGATTAAGCATTTCAAGTATGATTAGAAGCTTTGAAGCATTAATTGAAATTTCAAATGATCTCCAAATCGAGTGACTTGTTAAGTAAAATCCAAGAACCGTAAGATCATTCAACTTTGAGGTCATTAAGGAACTTCGATTCTAAAAGAATAATCTGTGATAAAAAAAAAATTAAGCACAGACTATTCGTTGGAGTGTAATAGAATTTTAGCTAAATTAACCAAAGTATCCCTATCAAAACTCTATAAATAAGTTCTCATTCACAACATAAACAAAAAAGAAAAAAATTATGAGCCAAGTACAAACTTTTAACGAGAATTGTAAGCTGACAATCATCGGGGATTCTCAACGATTATTAGTAATGATTGTTGTAGCTCAGTTATTATTCTCAAACAATTGTTGCTTAATCTTTGTTGCTTATTAAAACTCTGTATACTTATTTTCTCTATTTAGAGTGGAGTGGAACTATATAACATGAAATATGTAGTGCACTATTTTGAGTAGGCAAATCCCATGATTTTTTTTTTCTTTTCGTTTTATTAGCACTTGTATGTATATTGGAGGCTCCTACAATGTTAAAATACTAATCTATTGCGGTACAACAGCAAGTTTTCTATATATATATATCATCCACTGATATGCAATTATGAACTAACACATGTAGGCATCAATACCAATTAAAAAAAGCTACAACAGAAGTAGCATCATGACTGCAGCATTTTTTTTATATTTACAGAACCAACTACAAAGGGAAGGTCGATTTGATGAGCAAATTGCTGCATTTTTCAATTTTCATTAAAAAACTCCGGTGACCAAACCCGCCATGAAAGAAGGAAAAACCATTAAAATAGAAGAAAACAATAGCAAACACAGATTTTAGCGAAGTTTCTCCATTTCTTTACAGATTTACTGACCAAATCTTCCAATATACAGATCCTATAACACACAAAAGAAGAAGAAGAAGAAAAAGATGAAACCTTTCTTTACCGTGTCTGATCAAAAACCTCAAATCAATCTCCAAAAAAATACTGAATCATTTAACTTTTTTTCAAACTGGAAGAAGAAAAGCTCTTCCACTTCTTTGTCCGCCAAAGAAAAATCTCCCACTTGAAACAGATCTCTTCATATGCACAGTCCTCATAACACAATTCAATCCCCTGTTTCTTCCATTTCCGGTGCTCTGCTCTCTTTCACTCCGCCGCCAAATCCCACCTTCTCCAACAAGACCACAGTTTTTCGCCACCATGTACTCTTCCTCCATGCTCATCTGCAACACATCTGCTATCGAAACCAGCCCGCGATAAGCCTCTGCTGATCCCATAGACATGCACCGCCTCACGTACTGTGCATCTTCTTCCCCAATTTCTACCGCACCAGTTCCATGATTTCCTCCTCCTCCTTCCTCCTCTTCTTCTTCTTCTTCTCCACTTTCGGCATCTTCTATGTTCACGACCATCTCTTCCTCATGTTCATCTGGCTCCAGCACTATGTTTGCTCGGCAGAGAGGACAATTAGCATGAGACTTGAGCCAGGTGTCAATACACTGCAAGTGGAAGGCATGACTACATTTTGGAAGAAGCCGGAGGCTTTCTGCTTCCTTAAATTCCCCAAGGCAAACAGAGCACTCTGTTCCATCTACGATGCCCTCCTCTCTCTTATATCTTAAAACTGTGATCTTGTTGATCAGCCCCTCTTCTAATCCGTTTGACGGCGACGCGTGCCACTCCTCATGCCGACGGCGCCGCGTGCCCCTCCTCATGCCGGACGGAGCCCGTGGCGGAGCCACCACCGCCGGCGACCTCTTCTTCGAAGTGGGTGGGAGGGCAGCTAAAGGAGAGGGAAGCGCAGTTCCTGGAGACCAAGGTGTAGTAGCTGACTAAAAGAAGAGCGCTTGCGAGGATGGCGATGATGGCGATGACGAGAGGAGAGAAGGTGGTGCCGGATTCGTAGTCGGCGCCGGCGAGGGAGAGAGGAGGGGGAGGAGAGAAGAGAACGTAACACCATTGAGGGCAGTATATGCTGCAAAAGCCTTGGGAGCAGTCTTTGTCTATGCTGCCGTCGTAGGGAAGCCAGTTCTGCTGGTTATCGATTGCTGCCATGGAAGGAGAGAGGGAGGTGGTTAGAAGGTAAGAGATTTGTATTTCATGGATTGATTTTTTTTTAGTTCAGTGGGGGAAATGATTGGGGGGAGGGTGGGAGCATTTGAGGAGCTCTTTATTGGGAAATGGGAGGATTTGTGTGGCTCTTTATTGGGAATTGGGATGATTGGGATGATTGATGTGTTGTTTGGACTGGAGATGGAAGAGAATCTTGGAGCTTGGGAGAAAAGCAAAGTGAGAAAGAAGACTGGTTTGGGGCCTTCGGTACTTTTGCATTGGTTTGTATGTAATTCGGGTTATTTGAGCTTGAGTTGGCAGGTTATCTTGATTTGATTTGTGGTGTATGTACTAAGATGCCTGTTGGCACGAGCCTCTATTAATGGGGGGAATTAAGAGTTTTTCTAAATTGAGTTATCGAAATTAGTTTTATTATTTGGAAGGGATATAGTTAAAGTTTAATTGTTGGGGCTATTAATATTTATCACTAACATATTTATGATTGTGCTAGACATAACATGGTCATTTATATGTTTGCCACAAAAAAACTGTGATCATGTCGGAACTATCGTCAATTTATATTACTATTGCATTATTAGCATGTTTTAGATGACAATGATTATTATGGGGAAAAACAGAATATGATAATGTGCTATTTTTCTTAGATTATTTATTTATTGATTAGATTGGATATATGTAATGGATAGAAGATTTATATTTAACTTACTAGAATATAATAATACTTTATGTTTGACTTATTTAATTATAGTAATTTATATGTATGCCTACTTTAGTATGTTAGTGGATGCTAAAGATATGTTGGTGATAAACTGATCAAATGTATCTCACATAGTTTGTTTTAAGCTTGATATGAGTTATATTTCATCTATTTAACATTTCATTGTGATATAGTTATGAATGAATAATTGCATATGTTAACATTCGGAGGGCGTAGAAGAAGGAAGAGTTTATCATCTTATAATATATAAAGATTTGTTTAATATTGACAAATAAGTACTTGAGAATAGCGCATACTTTATTGAAGAATTTTTTTTTTCTTTCATGAAAAATTTAAAAATAGAGAAAACCAAGAAATATGAGACCATTAAAATGTTATGCCACTATGTGCCAAAAATTATAATTTATTGACAATCCTCTTCATAATTAAAGAAGATATTAATAAAATATAATAGATGTGAACTATGGAATAAGACTTTTATAGTAGAAATAGGATGAGTCTTGAGGTGTTAGAGTTTTTACTAAGTGATGATTGATGATTTAATTGGTCATTCTATTTATATAACCAGAGATTAACAAATGAAAAAGAAAATAATGATATAAATAAAGATGGCGCACGATAATAGTGTTTGTATTGAAATCATTAACAGTAGTCGTACTCGGTAGTAGTAGTAAGCACTAGTATTAATGCCAATAATAGGCATTAGCCTTATTAGTGATGATAAGTGTTGTGTTGGTGTCAATGGCGGTCATTTACTTGTTGGCCATGACTAGTAATGATGTTAATGTTGATGGTGAATGCTTGCCTTATCAACAATAATGTGCATGTGTAGTGGAGATACTATTGAGCAATTGTCTTATTAGTGATTGTGGGGGTTGAGTAATTTTTATGGTGTTTATTTTGTTTGCAACAATGAACATTGATTTTATCATTAAAGATCATACATATTATCGTAGCTCTCTAGTCTAGACTCCCTTTTTTTGAATTTTTTTGTGGCATCATCTTTGGTCAACAACCCTCTCTTCTTGTAAATGTGTGGGAGTCGGGCCTTTTTATAGATTCTTATAGAGAATCATTCTTGGTTATTTCAACGATAATTCAAAACTAGCTATTAGTAGACTCAGTTTGTTCTCATTAAATCTATAATATTTTCAATTTTTAATATCTTAATGATATCAAAATTAAGTGATCTTGTACTTGTTACATTTATCTTCTCTAAATATTTGTTTTGATTATATATATGATTAAAGAACAAATAGTAGTGGATTCCACAACTGATCTCTTATAACTTAAAGTATACTTTAAAGAGCTTGATTTAGGTCCAATTGGAATTGGATCTAGTCGCTCTTGTTATCATTAGATTTTTTTTCTTGAGAAGATCTCTAAGTCAAATAAGATTGTATCTAGCTTTAATATTGAAATACTTTAAGATTTATATGTAAAATTGCTTGATGATTTGGGTTCGACCACAAGATAGCTTATTAAGTTTGATTAATATGTTACTTTGATTGATATAATTGTGTTTATTTATGTTGGGAATGAAACAATCCCTTTATACTTAGCAGGCATAGATTTAATTTTAATCTAAGCAACATGGATTAGAATCAAACATATTAAAAAAGTTGGAATAAAAATTACGAACAGAGGTGCAATAAAAACAATTCAGAAATGTACACAATAATTTAATGTTAAAAAACTCAGGAACAGAAAAAAAACCATGAAGCCACGTCACCAATAAATTTTCAATTTAAATTTAGAAAGTTTAATAGAGAATACACTTAGATTTCCTCTTTACAGTCAAAGAAACTTACCAGACTGCACTCCAAATCCTCCCACTGATTTGACAAGACAAAAGTATTTCAAAATCCACCTCGCCGACACTTTTTTCCTTTGTCGGGAATTTTTCGAAGAAAACATGCGTGCAGAAACTGATAACTTCGCCCCTTGAAATAATGATTTTTAAGCCAAATCTTGAACCAACCACATCGGTCGGTAAAGGTCTGGAATCCAAGAGGTGGGCTCAGAGGCACCCACTGTTGGGTGAAGGTCGCCCACACTGGGCGAAGACCACTCTGGGAGTTGGGCGATTGGGGCCCCGACGCGGGGATGCTTGTAGCTTGCTGCTAAATATGGTCTCTTTTGTCTGCTGTTATGTCTGTGGTGCTTCTGGTATTCCAAATTAGGCTCCACACCATAACAATCTCCCACTTGGAGTCTGATTGTACCAAACACATGTCCTCCAAATATGCACCTTCATCTGCATCACATTCATAGTCTTGAATCGTGGTGTGACTCACCTCCAGTCTCAACCTTCATGAAATCTAACTGAAACTAAACATAGCCTCAATTTCTCACTTGTCACCACATTTATCAAAATATCCACAGTATTCTGAGCTAGTGTATCTTTTCCAAAAATAAATAGACATCTTCTAGGAGAAAGCTTATAAAATGATACATCAAATGAATGTGTTTTGCTCTGTCATGGAAAGTAGCATTCTTAGCAAGGTGAATTTTACTCATACTGTCACTGTGAAACTTTCCAATCCCTTGTTCTTGGCCCAATTGTGACATAAAACTCAGTAGCTAAATGATCTCCTTGCTAGCCTCAGTGATAATAATGTATTCGGCCTTTGTAGTTGATAGTGCAATGATCTTCTGCAAAATGGAAACCTAACTCACTGTTGTGTTCCCCATTATTAAAAAATGTTCTGTCGTACTCCTATTATCAACATTTCATGCCAGATCTAAATCTATGAAACATTATAGACTAATTCTTGCACTTCCATAGTAAAGTGTCCTATTGACTGTTCCCCTCAAGTACCTGAGAATCCACTTTGCCGCCTCCCAAAGATGCCCATCTGGATTACCCATGTACCCGCTTCCCATTCCTGATTCATATGCAATATCTGGCCTGATACAAATCTTTGCGTACATCAAACTTTCAAGTGCAGAAACATTCATAGTTCTCTCCATCAGTGCTTACATTAAGTTAGAGTTAGACGATGACTGCTTAGATAGTTTGAAGTGACTACTTAAGGGTTTGTTATAAATCTTTTCCCTTACTCATGTTGAACCTCTGTAGAATCTTCTTGACATGCTCTTTCTGAGAAAACTTCAGTATTCTTTCACTCATGTCCTTATTAATTATCATCTTGTTGATCTTTCTGGTTGGACTATTCTTTCACTCATGTCCTTATTAATTATCATCTTGATGATCTTTCTGGTTGGACCTAAATCCTTCATCTCAAACTCACTTGATAATTATTCTCTTAAGTTCCTGATTTTCTCCATTTCTAACCCTACAGTCAACATTCATCCACATTCAAATGAAGCAATGTATAATAAATACCGAAATGTTTGATGAAACAATGGTGTTCTGTTTGACACTTCAAATACTCATTATCTGACATTAACCTGTCAAACCTTCTGTATGTACCACTGTCTCGAGGACTGCTTCAAGCCATAAAGGTTCTTCTTCAATGTGCAGACAAATCGGCAATTATTCCTCTATTACCAGACTCAGTACAACCCTGACAGTTGTTAACTTCACTACTAGAGAAAAATATTTTTATAATCCACTCATTCCTCTGTCGAAAACAGTTCACAAAAAGTCTTTCCTTGTATTGTCTGCTATCATCCGACTCCTCTTTTAGGCTATAGAATCACTTGTTGTGTAGTGCTCTTTTGTCTTCTGGTAATAACGTCAAATACCAAGTCTAATTTGACTTCAAAGACTGCACTTTTTTGATCTATGACAAGCCCACTCTCACTTAAATCTTCAATTTGAGTGGTCTCCTCAAAGTACTCTGGTACACCATTATCCGTTTGTAACAAATAGTGTAATAAAAAAAAATAAATGTGCACGGATGCATCACTTTATTGGATCTCCTGACTTCAATAGCAGGTGATTAAGGAACTTTTAGCGTTCCTTCTGGTTGAGCACTACTTCATGTAAATATACTACTTTAAATTAATTATTTAAAAAACAAAATTTTCAATTTGTTTACTAATAACAAAAATTTAAGAAAGTATGCAAATATTACAAATCATCAATTTCGCTTCTGCATTCAAATTTTGTACCATTTTTCGTACCAAAATTCTTGAAATCATCTTTTCCTCTGTCTAAACCTTCAAAAATCCGTCTGCATGTCTTTCACATACAAAATTTTAAAACTCCTATCTGTTCTCTATTTTCACATACTTGAAAACTTCATAGTATCCATTACCAACCCAAATCAATTTTTTTGAAATCTTTCCATAATCTATGATATGTCAAATGTTAGCCAAAATAATATTATTGATTAATTACTTGTATTTAACTTTACACTGTTTAGCTGGCTTTTTTTCATGATTTCTCTTTTTAAATCTCTCTTTTTTTTTTCAAGACGCACAACTAAAATTTGGTTTATGTATCCTTGAAAATGATATATATGTATGTATATATATATATATATACCTAGCTAATACCTTTGCTCTTTAATTGGATTACATAAATTCTGTGAAATTTTTTATGATATATGATCTCGCTTGTTACTAGTTTGTGTTCTTTGTACTGTGTAATTTTAGGCACAATTAAACATGGCAATTAGGTGTTTTTTCTGACATGCGCAAGGCAAAAGCTTATTGTACTAAGGTGCTGCTGCTTTTGGGGATTTTCTTTGTACATTCA